GGCAGGTAAAAAAGTAAAAAACCACTGTCGGCGANCTTGAAAAAAAGGCTGTCAGGTGCCGTGGCCTAGGTTTCTCACTGAAAATCCTCGTCCCCCGGCGGCACCTTTTTTTTGAATTGTCTTCCTTTTCAACGCCGTTTTTCGGGGACTTCGGATTTTCTTTGAATTTTTTCGCAATAATATTTGAAAAATAGATAAATTTTAACACATTTTAATGCAATAAAAATTTTTGGTCGGAGTCCCCCTTTAAATTCATTTATTTCGGTTCCTGAAAAAGATATCAAAAATAATCAATTGACAAAACGTTTATCGTAATATCAGTAACATTCTATCAGTTGACCCTTTTTCAATATCTGTCACATGAACCAAGATAAACTGGTTCAAAATTTCTCGGTTGGGCGGCCTTCTATTAAAGGAAATGGTACATGCGATTCCACTTTTGGTACATTTTGGGTTAGAATTTTTGGTACATCTTTGTCAGTTTACAGTTATGGTTCAGCCAAATTGATTTTCAAAATGCAAGTTCCATAACTTGAGTTTTCAAATTTAATTAACCTGGTAACCACCGTTTTGTCCGACGCAACCAGTTGTTTTTTTAGATACTGTAAAACCTGTAAAGGGCCCCCCTAACATTTAACTGTGAACTTTTTTCTCATTTTCTATGAAAGATATCAAAAAGTAGCTAACTGACAAAATATTCACCATAATATCAACAACATTTTATCAGTTGACAGATGTTTGATATCTTCCATAGGAATCGAGATAATTGAGTTTAAACTTGACAGTTTGGATGCCCTTCTATTGCAGGTTTTACGCTAATTCCTTCTTGTTAGTTGCTTTAACTTCAATAATTTTTTTCTTTTCTCCAATTGTTTTTTTTCAATCCTACAAAACATAGCTCAACAAACTCTCTTCTAATCCCTATTCCTCTAATTCACATTTTTTTCCCTCTGCTCGTCTCCATTGGCAACCACATAATCCTATCGCTCATTCCTCACCCCCCCCCCCCCCCTCTCTCCACACGAGTTTCTCTAAAATCTCTCCCTTTCTTTCTGACGGACTGATATTATGAAGGATTGGAAGGGGATCGAAAAGAAAAAAGATGGGGTCACAAAGATATGAGCATTGAGAGAGAGATAGAGGGCGACAATATTGGCGAATCCCTTGGGGAAATCTGACCGAAAATATGGAAAATAGTAACTTTTAGAAAGTAGAGAGAAAGATCTAAAAAGTGATGAATCCTGAAGATTGATAAATTGAAAAGATGGTCATAGATTGGGTATCGAAAATGAAGATGATGTCCTCGAGGGTTGAGAAACCGCAAGTATACTTGTTGACGGGCCGTCTCCGGCCCGCCGGCGGATAACTCCCTTCAAAATAGAAATTGTGGGGTAAACGACATATCAGATGATAGAGCTCGGAGAGCTATACAACCTCCAATAAGAATCGAGTGGCTTCGAAAGCGGTATTATGGTCGGGGCCGGCTATTAAAAAATCGGTTGAAGGATACTGGTCGATTCTTGTTGGGGGTTGTAGAACTCGCCGAGCTCTATCATCTGGTATGTTGTTTTGCCCACAGTATCAATTTTGAAGGGAGTTATCAGCTGGTCCGCGCCATCCACAGAAACTATGCGGAATTTGAAAGTTCGCATTCTCCTTTATGATCCCAACGACTTTTCAGACAGTTATCAGAGTGATTAATCAGAGATTATGCATTTTGAAGTGTAAATGTCCATTTCAGGTCCCTATTAGCCTTCCACAATATTTGGAATCTCTGAAAATTCTTCCATGAAAAATGGTTTCCCTGACTTTAAACTTGCATGGAAAGATTTTCCAAAGTCCCTTTTCTTCTTCTTATTCTTCTTCTTTTCTATTTTCTCCCATTCTCTTGTTCTAAAACCGGAATTGAGAAGGAAGTTGCAAAGTTTCTTGTATTGTGTTTCTCGCAACTCTCTGTTCCGTTTCTTTTCTCTCTTTTTTTCTGAATTTCATCAAAGAGCAAGCAAATTTGGATGGATGTACAATCAACAAAAGAGAATCCGAAGAAGAAGAAGAAGAAATAGAGAAAGATTGTGAAACCGAAATGTATTCAGAAGGAATTATCTGGAGATTAGCAATACATTTGGAATCTATACTTTTGTAGGTAAAACAAAATAAATCTGATCGAACTGAATTTTTTCCTGAAAGCAGAAATATATTTTTTAGAATCCTCACAAGATTAAGCCAGGGAGATTAACCGAAAAATTAAGTTTAATTGTGAGGATATTATCTCGATTGTACGTACATACAATATTTTCGAAACGTGCGGCTCTAACTACTGAAACCGAGACACGGTGAATTTTCCGGAACGTTTTTCAAAATACATTTTTTCGCGCTCTTTTCATTTTTGGTCGCAATTTCGCTGTGTAGCAACTCAGTAATTCATTTTTCAGCATGCGCGTCGATACTCAGCGCGCTTAACTATTTGCGTTAGAGCGCATTTACTTTAGAACATTTTCACCGTCCTAAGAAATTCACCGTGCCGAGACACCGTATTTCCTCTAATTAAAGCCCACACAAACGTCAACTTTGAGGTCCATTATCTCGATTGCTGTAACAGATATCAAAATTTTGTCAACTGATAAAAAATTGTTGAAATTGTGATCAATAATTTATCAATTGACAATTTTTTGATATCTTTCACAGGGCTCGAGATAATTGAGCATAAAGTTGGCGGGTTGGCGCCGGGGCATAGTTTTAAGGTCTTGATTTTATGTTTATGATGTTCCTCGTCCCTTAATTAGTAGATGTGCAAAGTTACATGTCCTTATCTCAATTTTTACGAAGATGGCATTACTTTCTGTACGCTTTCTTTGATGTTTTTCCTGAACTTCTGGCACGCGCTTGACCACAGCGTTCATTGATGAGACACTGTTCAGCTAAGAGGCAAAACTCAATCCTTAAAATTGTCACGTTTAGGAACAATGTCCTTGGCTATCTAATAGTAATAGTATGTTGATTCTCTGGGCAGCCAATCTTTTGCAAACCATGAGTTTTGGAGGAATCACTTCAAATGGGGAAAAATCATTGTTTTTGATGGAGCCAGGTCTGCAAGTGTACCAAGAATACTACTTCTAGTAAAAATCAAACTGCCTAAATTATGATCTCACCTTGAATAGCAAATTCAGACTTCCTAAAAAGATTTATCGCCTGCTGAGACTGCAAAACATGTTCAGCGGGAGTGCCAAGGCAATTTCTCCAATTTGATCCCCGAGAAAGGATGTCCTGACACTAGTCAGATAACAATACGATGGGGGTTTTCGTGCAAGGAAATCTTTAAGCATATGTTCAAGTTTGTTTTAAGACAATTTTGGATGCTCTCAAAAATATTCATTCCAAGGAATGGGACCAGCAGACCACCCCTGTGCCAGCATAAACGCAACCCGAAGAAGTTGAGCACCGACTTTAGAAACAGAGCTGCCGGAAATAAACAACTATGATTTAGTTTTGTTACAAATCTCTTTCATGTAGTCCTGTTAAAATTTGCATTGTCAAACAATTACTCGACAATTATTAGTTCAATTATTAGTCATATTTAAAGAACTCACCGTAAACTCTCTAATGGAAGACCACCCTATGCGGGCATTTTGAGCTCAAATATCCCAATTTCTGTAAGAGGTGTCAAAAACCAGTCAACTGATAAAATGTTTGACATAATATCATCAATATTGTATCAGTTGACAGACTTTTCATATCTCTCATAAGAATCGAGATTATTGAGCTAAAAGCGCAAATATAAGATAGTCTTCTATTACCCACTCAAATCGTAAACTTTGAGCTTAATTATCTCAATTTCCATGAGAGATATTATAAACCGGTTAACTAATAAAATGTTGATGATATTATGACAAATATTTTATTAGTGGATAGATTTTTGTTATCTTTTATAGAAATTGAGACAACTGAGCTCAAAGCGCAAGTATTCTGTGACCACCTATTAGAGTGCTTACGGTATTCGAATTGTTTTCATCAATGGCAGAACAAATAAATGTTGAAGTCGCCCAACTAGGAATCAAATCTGAATAAATACATTCCATTACTTACCTGAACTCTTTCAGTCTGCTCTCTATCGATAATGATAAGCAAATTGCGGGTGTCATTGAAAATTCTAGAGCTGATGCTTCTGGCGAATTGTCTTCTGTAAATGTACTTTTTGTTTTTCTTGGCTTCCCTTTCTTTTTTTTAAACTTCTTATCTGTATTTTCGCTTTCTCCTTTTAGAAAAAAAAACACAGATTTCCTAGACACCGAAAAACTCGAAAATCGAGTTGAAAGGAAACGGGGCGATGTGCTGAGGGGAGCAAATCGGATTGGATTGTTGTCTCCGGGGAGTCGTCGATCAAAACGTGTTGAATGAACCAAAAAAAGGAAAAAAGGAATAGTGTGAGTACTCGAGAGATCATAGAGAGTTATGAGTTAAAGCTCTCGATGGCGGAAACGAAGAAGACAAAAACAAACCTCTCAACTGTCAAATTCATGTACCATTTGCGAACAGTCATCTCTTGAGGATCTCGTTCGAAAAGGTAGAAGCATGTTGCACCGAGAAGAATGAATACAGTGGTGAGAAGGACAAGAATAATTGGA